AGGTTAATAGTATGGATAATTCTAATGCCCCATTCTGTTCTAAAACATCAAGATTTGCCAGTATGATAGAAAGTCATTGATGTTCTATAATAGAAGTACAAAAGTCTACACTTCTGTGAAATATGCAAAAATATTTCCCAATAATTTCAAACCTCAGAACACACTGATTGATGATAGTTCATGATGGGTAGCTCCAGAAACAAACAAAATGATAATAATGATTATAACCTTTCAGCAAAAAAAAAAAAAAAAAAAAAAGTATATTAACTTCACTGTTGTAGTGCCAGTACAACTATTTTATTTTATTTTATTTTATTTTATTTTATTTTTGAAATAGGTTCTCCCTCTGTTGCCTAGGCTGAAGTGCAGTAGCGTAATCATGGCTCGCTGCAGCCTCAAACTACTGGCCTCAAGCAATCCTCATGCTTCAGCCTCCCAAGTAGCTGAGACTACAAGCATGTGCTATTATACCCAGCTAATTTTTAAATTTTTCTTTCATAGAGATGGGGTCTCATGACATTGACAGGCTGGTTTCAAACTCCTGGTCTCAAGCCATCTTCCTGCCTCAGCTTCCCAAGTGGGATTATAGGACTGAGCCATTGCATCCAGCCAGTCCAAAATTAATAACAATACATAGAACATATAAAACCTAAGCTTAAGTATTTTGCAAACAAATCAGTCCTATCATTTGTCTTTAGTGAAAATGGGAGACTGAAGAGAGAAAAATTATGTTTTAAGAACTGTGGTGTACCTGTTATTAGATTCTAGTCTCAGTTGTTTTTGAGGGGTTTTTCCTGCAATTTAGACTAATCCTACTTAATCCCATGAACCAACCAGTGATCTCTGCTGCTGCTCAGAAGAAGCAAAAGGGATGGGTAATATAAAAATCTTGATCAGTATTCTAATTCTGGGCATGTACTGGAATCAGCTAGGGACCCCGTATCAGCTTGGTTCTACAACTGCCTAGTTAATAGAAAGACTTCTTATTTAGTTTACTTGGGATAATTTTACTTATCTTTTTTTTTTTTTTTTTACTGTTGTAGAATATATTGCTGTTGTACTCTTTGTGTAGGAATGCAGATAAGCTTACTGAATGTTTTCTTAAATTGAACACTTACTATTCTTCCAGATAGCACTTCTTGTTGGAACTCACAGTTATCAATGGCCCTCGCCAGACCAATGCTTTGTGACTGACCTCCTCTCTACCTTGAATACAAGAGGCCCTCATAGTTAGGCAGGAATATCATTGTCGCTATTCAGCCTGAAGAAGTTACAGAAGATGGATCTTCATTCCTCTACAACCCTTAGGATTAAAGATCTCCTTATAAAAGGGAGGGGCAGCCGGGTGCAGTAGCTCACGTCTGTAATCCCAGCACTTTGGGAGGCCGACATGGGCAGACTATCTGAGGTCAGGAGTTCGAGACCAGCCTGGCCAACATGGTGAAACCCCCACCTCTACTAAAAATACAAAAATTAGCTGGAAGTGGTGGCGGGCGCCTGTAGTCCCTGCTACTCAGGAGGCTGAGACAGGAGAACTGCTTGAAGCCGGGAGGTGGAGGTTGCAGTGAGCTGAGACTGCACCACTGCACTCCAGTCTGGGCAACAGGAGTGAGACTCTGTCTCAAAAAAAAAAAACAACAATACATAAACAAATTTTAAAAAATTAAAAAAATAAAACAGAAGGGGGAAATATGTCAGAGGCATTCAAACCTGAGTGACTCCATCTTGAACAGGGGCTGGGTAAAATAAGGCTTACCCCTACTGGGCTGCTGCATTCCCAGGAGGTTAGGCATTCTTACTTACACATGAAATAGGAGGTCAGCACAAGATACAGGTCACAAAGATCTTGCTGATAAAACAGGATGCAGTAAAGAAGCTGGCCAAAAGTCACCAAAACCAAAATGGTGATGAAAGTGACCTCTGGCTGTCCTCTCTGCTCATTGTATGCTGATTATAATGCATTAGCATGCTAAAAGACACTCCCACCAGCACCATGACAGTTTACAAATCCCATGGCAATATCAGAAAGTTACCCTATATAGTCTAAAAAGGGGAGGGACCCTTAGTTCTGGGACTTGGCTACCCCTTTCCCAGAAAACTCATAAATAATCTACCCTTTGGTTCAGCATGCAATCAAGAAACAACCATAGGCCAGGCACTTTGGGAGGCCAAGGTGGGTGGATCACTTGAGTTCAAGAGTTCAAAACCAGCCTGGCAAGATGGTGAAACCCCGTCTCTACTGAAAATATAAATTCTAGCTGTGCATGATGGTGGTACCTGCCTGTAATCCCAGCTATTTGGGAGGCTGAGGCAGGAGGATCACTTGAGCCCGGGAGGCGAAGGCTGCAGTGAGCTGCCACTGCACTCCAGCCTGGGTGACAGCAAAACAATGTCTCAAAAAAAAAAAAAGAAAAGAGAAAGAAAGAAAGAACCATGAAAGTAGCCAACCAGCAGCCCTTAGGTCTGCTTTGCCTATGGAGTAAGCCATTCTTTATTCCTTTACTTTCTTAATAAACTTGCTTTCAATTAAAAAAAAAAAAAAAAGAATACCAGAGTGGTAACTTTCATAGTATACGTCAGCTACAGGGGACAATCAGGAATTGCTGGAGCAAAATATCCTTATTAGAGTCTTGACTGCCTATGTAATTAATTCACTGCAGCACCAAACTGTCCAAGTTGTCATTATATTCTTCTCTATTCTTTTCTTCCAGGCAACCACAGTAAAAATATTCTTTAAAAAAATTGTAATGCCAGTTTTACTTAAGAATGTCCTTGATGACACAGGAAAGTCATTTCTTATTACATCTCAACCCCTGAGTATATGTCTTTTTAATTTTCTGGGTGATAAAATAGGAGGTACACAAAAAAAACACTTCTGGTACACACTGAAGTATGATAGTTATCTCAAGGAAAACACTTATCTGATGATGTGAGCTGTGGGCCAAACCAGTCACTGTTTACAGAGAATCCCATCTTTACTTGAAAGAACAACTGACAAATGATTATTATTCATACTTGGGTATTTGGCAGACATTTTCTCAAAAATGAAGTGAGAAGGCAGCTTACTGGAAAACAACTGATGGCATGTGCTGCCAATAACGGCCTTCACATTTCTAATTAAAAATTAAAATTGTGGAAACTCGTTTCCACCGTAAGCTTAACAACATCCCAATACTTGAAAGACTTTACTGATAAATCAGTGGTGATATTGGCCGGGCATGGTGGCTCACGCCTGTAATCCCAGCACTTTGGGAGGCCAAGGTGGGCGAATCACTTCAGGTCAAGAGTTCGAGACCAGCCTGGCCAACATGGAGAAACCATATCGCTACTAAAAATACAAAAAATTAGCCAGGTGTTGGGGGTATGCCTGTAATCCCAGCTACTCCAGAGGTTGAGGCGGGAAAATCGCTAGAACCCAGGAGGCAGAGGTTGCAGTGAGCCAAGATCGCACCACTGCACTCCCGCCTGGGCGACAGAGTGAGACTTCATCTCAAAAAAATAAATAAATAAACAACAACAAAAAATAAATCAGTGGTGATATTAACAAATGTGAATTCTTAAAACTCCATAATAAAATATATTAACATTTGGAGTATCTGTGTTACACAACGAAGCAGTACTCTCCAAATGACCAACACTTAATGCAAAAAAGTGATGCATGGGTAAAGAGTCAAATCAAACTGCAAGTCAGAGCAATGGATCTTACTGTTAAAGAATTCAAAAAGCTCATGAATAGAGATTTAGATTCCATATTAGAACTAACATTTAAGAAATGACCACTTGTCAAGTTTTGGTATAGTATCAAGGAAGGATATTCACAATTACCTAAAAAGACAACTAAAATACTCTTCCATTTCCCAATTACATCCACAAACTTTATAAGCAAGTATTGGATTATTTTTTCTGGATGTTAAAAACCATAAACAGAATCACAATAGTTATCATATTTTTTAATTCCTGATATCAGTCATGTAAAAACAAATGAACTAGCAATTATTTATTTAAAAGTTATATTCTTCGCAGTTACACAGTCTACATATTTGCAACAAATATATAAGTATCAAAGGTTTAATTTACCACAGAATGAAGACTGATCACTGCTCCAAAGAGGAAAGGAAATGAATGTGGTAAATTCTTAAATCTGTTTTGGAGACAGGTAAGTCAAGTCTCTCTTTTCTAGTTACAAATGAGCACATTCTAGGCCAGGCATGGTGGCTCACGCCTGTGATCACAGCACTTTGGGAGCCCAAGAAGGGCAGATCACTTGAGGTCAAGAGTTCAAGACCAGCCTGGCCAACATGGTGAAACCCTGTCTCTACTAAAAATACAAAAATTAAGAGGGCGTGGGCACCTGTAATCCCAGCTACTCTGGAGGCTGAGGCAGGTGAATCACTTGGGCCCAGGAGGAGGCTGCAATGAGCCGGGATCACGCCACTGCACTCCAGCCTGAGAGACAGAGCAAGACTCTGTCTCAATAAAATAAAAAAAAATAAAATAAAGGAGCAGGTTCTATTTAACATGTGACTCTTGAAACCTACATATTAATCACCCAGATGACATGATATAAATGGATTTAAACGCTGGTTCTTAAATTTCTAAGGAAATGTCTTTTCACGGGAAAAACTGACCTCTCATAAATTTCAAAAGAAACAATTTAATCTGAACAAACACCTGAAGTTCAGAAGTAACACACCAAATGTTATTGTTTGCAGATGCATTTTTAGATAGGAATAAAAGTTGTTAAAGGAGAATTGTTCTTACACAACTCTATCCAATTAATAAATATCATAAATCATTAGTTTCAAAAGCAGGAACCTTAAAAAAATCTCAGATTGAGAATTGGTAATGTCCTCACTAATAAACAAAGTCCTATTACTCTGTTTTCCGAAAGAGAAAGTTTATACACTAGTTTTTTTAGTGAGAATATTCAAGAGATAACAAGCAGAAGTTCATTCTGCCCCCACCCCTTCCTCATGATCCACCCATTTCTGCAGGCTTACCTTTGCAGTTCATTAAGCCCCCTGGCAGCTGGAAGGCTAGGGTTTTGCCTTAGGAAGTTTTGTTTTAAATTGAGATGAGTGAGGTCTTGGCTGTAGAAGAGGTTGGCAGGCAGATGTTCCAGGCTACAACATGAGAGGTCCACTGAGCTAATGCGCTGGGATGCAACCTAAAGAGGGATAAAACTTAATTTTAATACCATCCACTTATCCTATAACTACTTTCTATGGATAGAAATGAGATAATCCCAATTTGGAACAGGTATTCTATGAAAGTAGCACTGTTAGTCCAAATATAAACCAACACAGTATTCAGTCACATGCCACATACCAACCTTTCAGTCAATACCATATCATATACAGCAGTCCCACAAGATTATAAAGCCGAAAAATTCCTATCACCTAGTGATATGGCAGCCATCATAATGTCACAGCACAACACACTGCCTTTTCTATGGTTAGATACACAAATACTTACCATTTTGTTACAACTGCCCACAGATTCGGTACAGTAACATGCTACACAGGTTTGTAACCTAGGAGCAACAGCCTAAGTGTGTAGTTGGCTACACCATCTAGGTTACTGTAAGTACACGCTGATGTTTGCACCATGAAGAAATTGCCTAACAACACATTTCTCAGGATATATTCCTGTCATTAAGTGATGCTTGTCTGTACTTAGTATTCGAGCCAAATACTTTATAAAAGCATGAAAATGTCCCTGCCTGGAGGGTATGTACAGTAACCTAGCATAGGAGACAGGCTGGAAAGAACACAGATTACTCCACTGGGTTTATTGATATCAGTAAACTCCTCCAATGTAGGAGTTTTATTCCTGAAAACATAAGGAATAATTCTCTCCCACAGAAAGAGAATTCAGAGCTATCGAGTAAATACACGGTCAAGAGACAGATACTAAGATCTAAACTGAACATATGAAAGTCATTGTATATACTGATTTAAAAATAGCACAAATAAAGAAAAAGAGTATCATTGACCTTGTACACATCTTCAATTCATGGTATAGTAGAATCAGATTCTATTGCCTGTCTGCTACAAACTTTCCAGGCTGCCTCACTTCACAGTTTCAGTGAAATGCTTATAGATTCATTGTGCTTTGCTTCATGTAAGTATTTTATGTAAAACTTATTTTATGTCTAAGTATTTACCCAGATGTTCAATGCCTTCCTGGTTAAATGACTCCTCCCACGGCCAGGATCTCAGGGCTAAAGAAAGACCAACTTTCATGTGGGAAGCAGAAAACTCACGGACCACCCTGTATTTCTCCAATGTTCTTCCCAACATTGTAGGTAACACAGCGCCAATTTATGCTACAGCACGTGGCTTTAGCCCCACCTTCACACATCTTGGTTTTCTCTCCTCACAGAGGCAATGGGAATATAGTTCTAAAACTTTGGTTAATTCTCCCTATTTATCTTTACCGAAGCTTTAGGGCAGAAATTTCACTGCTTATCTGTGATCAATCTGGTGTCTTTTTCTTTTACCAAACCCCAGGTTTCTGTTCCTAATTACACAAGGCAGTAGAACATAGTCCTTAGATGTATGGTTCTGAGTTCAGTGTCCAGATTCACAGCCCAGTGCCACCACTCAGGAGCTGAGATAACTTGAATAGATCACTGATGTAAGATCCAGTTTTCTCATCTGTATACAGGTATAAAGATGGTACCTACTTCTACATGCCTGGCACAGAAAAAGCACTCAGTAAATGTTAACTGCTATTACTATTGCTAGTACTACTACTAACACTACCATTTCCAAATCAAATCATTCATATTTTATTTTTCATTAAAAAAAATTTTTTTTAAATAATAAAGTAGGGGCAGGGTCTTGCCATGTTGCCCAGGATAGTCTCAAACTACTGGGCTAGGTTGATCCTCTCACATCAGCCTCCCAAAGTGCTGGATTACAGGCATGAGCCACCATACACAGCTTCATTCACATTTTATATCCACTAAAATCCATACTCCCCTGCTGCTAAAAGTATCCAGAAGTAAATCTGGCATATGTTCTGCCAGGTTGGGCACGGTGGCTCACATCTGTAATCCTAGCACTTTGGGAGGCCGAGGCAGGTGGATCATTTGAGGTCAGAAGTTGGAGATCAGCCTGGCCAACATGGTGAAACCCCGTTTCTACTAAAAGTACAAAAATTAGCTGGGCGTGGTGGTGGGATGCCTGTAATCTCAGCTACTCGGGAGGCTGAGGCAGCAGAATCGCTTGAACCCAGAAGGTGGAGGTTGCAGTGAGCCGAGATCATGCCATCGCACTCCAGCCTGGGCGACAGAGAGAGACTCTGTCTCAAAAAAATAAACAGTTCTGCTGATGGAATATTTGAGGTTAGGAGAAATTACTGTGCACACATGAAAGCTAAAGGTATACTGGGGTGAGAAAAGCTGGGCAGGACTTATCTCTAAAGACTTTACCAAGAAAGTCTGAGTTTGCATTTTACTTATTTTATCTTTCTGTGAATTTTCACCATTAAATAAGAAAAAGAAAATGCCAAACAGGGCCAAACCACTCATACAAAGAAAGATGTAAAAAGAGATAGAATGTTAATGGGTCTGAAAGTAGGTGCAAAAGCACCACGCCACACAGGATTCCTATGGCATTCATAGGAAGTGGATGGGAACCTGTTTATAGAAAGTGAGGTTCAAAGCTCTGCTAGTTAGCGGAATCATTAATTCAAAAATATGTGTTGAACATCTACTTAATGGTGTATGGCAGGCCTTTTATTTCCTGAGATACAACAGGAAAACAAGACAGACACAGTCTCTGCCCTGAATGAGTACACATCAAGAGGACAGGGTAATTAAGATACTACATGATAACTGCTACAAGAAAAGGAAGTGCAAGGACACAGAACAGAATCCCAGGGGTCAGAAAAGGATTCCCAGAGGATGTAATGTCCGAGCCCAAACTTGAAGCCTCAGTAGAAATCTGTATTTTTTGTCTGCCCCAAATCCTTTCTCTTTCAAACTCATGATCCTAAGGGGAACTGCAAACAAAGTACCCAGATGCTCTGGATTCGTGGGTAGGCATGCACTCCAGGTCTGAGCAATCTGAGTGTCCTATCTGCTGAAGCCACAGGCTGATCCAAGAGGTGCTAGCATGGGACCCAAGTTAGGTTAATCAAAGGACTTCTCTGGGATTTACATATTCTGAAACCAGGAGAGAAAGAGAATCAGCTGCTTAGAGCTGCAGTTAAAATGAAGGAGCTAGAACCATATGTATCAATCTGACTTGATACAAATGCAAACTGCAGTATGACACATTCCATTTATGAAAACAATTTTTAACATAACACCCACACCTCCATATATTATATGGATGAATAATTATATGTGCAATATATACCATGAGATCACAAATTTCTATTGTTTTAAGCCACCGAGGGTTTGTTAATATGTTACAGCAGCCACAGGAAACTAATACAACCCTTCTTTATTTTTTCCATTGTACTTTTCATTTTCATTCATTCAACATGTTTACTGAGTATCTACTAGAGGTGCCAATTACTGTTCTAGGTAAGCCCTTAATATACTTCAGAAAACAAAATGAAGATCCCTCCCCTATTAAGCTTTCTTTACAAATAAATAAATTATACGTTAAAAAAAAATGGTAAGCACTACGAATAAAAAAAAAGACAGCTTGAGAAAGGGGGTCAAGATTGCTAGGAAGGTGGTGGATTGTAATTTAAACAGGTTAGTGAGGGTGGTCTCCACTGAAAAGATGACATTTAGCAAGGAAAAACAGGAAAAGTTGGCTGATACGATTTATCTGGAAGAAGATGCTGCCAGGCAGAGGAAGTACCCAGAGTTAGAGCCCTTAGAAAAGCATGCCTTAGCCAGGTATGGTGGCTCACGCCTGTAATCCCAGCACTTTGGGAGGCTGGGGTGGGAGGACTGTTTGAGCCCAGAAGTTTAAGACCAGCTTGGGCAACATAGTGAGACCATCATCTCTACTAAGAAAAAAAATTTTTAATTAGCTGGGCGTGGTGGTGCATGCTTATAGTCCCAGCCACTTGGGAGGCTGAGGTGGAAGGATCACTTGAGCCCAGAAGGTCGAGGTTGCAGTGAGCTTTGATCATACCACGGCACTCCAGCCTGGGCAATAAAGCCAGATCCAGTCTCAAATTTAAAAAATAATAATAATACAAAAACTTTGTAAAAGGAGCATACTTGGCATGTCCGAGAGACCTGAGAACACTGATTATAAGGCAACGAGGTCAGAAGGTAAATGGGCAGGGGATATGGGGCAAGCAGCAGACCCTGTGGGACGTTCAGGCCTTGTGAGGACTCTGGCTTTTAAGGTGAGTGAAATGGGATATGTGGAAAGGTTCTGAGAAGTGTGAGGTGATCACCAATGTATGGTCAATGCTCCATATTCACTGGGGATTAGTTCCTGGACCCCAGCAGGTACCAAAATCCACAGATGCTCAAGTCCTTGACATAAAATGCCATAGTACACTCAGCCCTCCGTGTCGGCAGGTTTTGATCCACGGCTGGTTGAATCTGAAATGGGAAACTCGCAGGTAAGGAGGGCCTACTATACCAAGGAATTTTCTTATTTTTTCTCTGCCTTTGTCTCTAGATTGTAAGCTCCATAAAGGAAAGAATTTTTCTATTTTGCTCACTGATATAAACCCGCGCTGAATACTTGGGAGGACCCTCAAAACATCTTGCTGGAAGAATGGCCAGAGGACGACCTTATACCTCCTCCTTTCTCACCAGGCGGCCTCTGCATCTGGTGCATCCTTTCATGTGGCAACCACTTTGAAGAAGACAAATTCCATTTCAAATGAAGCATCCCACTAAATACTCCCTTTGGACAACTAAGAGAAAATGATTTAACATCAAGTTGTATTGGCTTCCTTTCCTCATTCTAGACCGTAAGCTGTTTCTGCTGGAAACAAGCAGGAGGAAACCACATTAACGAGGCTACAAGCAAGGGCAGTCCTGCGTGAGCTATGCAGAACTAGGAACGTCTATCATGAGAGCATAAACTCATCATGTTAACATGGCCACGAGGCAGTGAGCTGCAAAGATGACCACAAAAGCTACCACTAGGTACACCACTGCCCAGTCCCATGAGCTACAACAGAATGGGAGATTTAAGTGCTTCTACTCAGCGCAACCTGGGCACATCAGGGCTC